CATTAAAATCTCCGTGTTGCTTTAAATTCTGAATTTTCGCAAAAAAATCTGAATAATTAATCTTAGCAGAGAGCATTATCTTGTTGAAAGAGGTAATTCTGATCTGAGAAAACTGTTCTTGTCCTCAAGGATGTTTATGCAGATGCTTCGCATGAAATTATGATTCATAAGAACAACTGGATTCAGAGTTAGCTGTACCCAAAATATACAAGTGTCTCAAATTCAATGTTAAAGGTGCTTTTCCGTGGTCGGATTGGTTATTGGGTGTCACATGACTTTATTCTTTATCGACATTAATATCCTATTGACCGAAGACAGTAACTAAATCTCTTATATTTTTATTTTACTATTTAATATTTCGATTTCATATTTTACAATTTAATATTTTGCAATTTAATATTTCAATTTCCAAAAACTAAGAAAGATTGGTAATTTTAAGAGCGACTACTTCGATCAGTCATCAAAATCAGAAGCTTGCTCACTAGAAGTAACAAATTTAATTGCCAGATTTTTACTATGTAACATATTTACAGTTAATTTTCAGATTGTTTCGATTACGATGTTATCCACGTTATACCATCGATTCAACATTTTATTTTTTTCTTCCAAAATAGTTACTATTTCTAATTACAATCAATTAGAAAAGAAGGAGTATAATTTTTTAAATATTTATGGGAGAATAAATATTTTGTTTTTACTCTCACTTTTGAACCTGCAATATCGTTTATTATTTTGAACCTAAAATATTGACCATTTTTAATTTTGACCTTCCCCCCCCCACACCCATTTGAAAAACCTGTGTTCTTTCCTTCGTAAACCATTGTTCTTTCCTTCGTAATCTTTACTACTTTTACTTCCTTGTACGACTTAAAAAAAATATTTTAATTGCGAAAAATTTTGGGTTTCATATTTCAACGAATATATCCATTTTGACATTTCTCGAATACATTTAAAAGAAATTTTTGGCATGACATCTGTACGTACGGGCAGAATAAAAGATTTAATGGATTTAAAATGGATTCGGAAGGGTTTTTTGTGACGTCTGTACGTACGTGTATACATCTCGTGTAACTCGGAAACATTAGCCGTAGAACGTTGAAATTTTGTATATGGGAAACCTTAAACATCTTCTTGTGCACTTTATTACCAAACTTATATATATACCGAGCTCCTTACCTGGTTCGGTGAGCTCTGTATTTTTATTCTTATATGTTGGCAAATTATGCATTTTTTACTTTAAAAATGGTTGAATTATGTTCCGGTTCCGGTTTTTGTGCTTTTATTTAATCTGCATATAACAGTTATAGAATTATCACTAATTTAAAAGTGTAAGTAGTACTAAACCTAGCATGTCGACTATTTGTTTATATTTTGAAATTCTTAGTAGTACAGTGAATTAAGTTTGCAGTCGCACCATATTCAGTGTCTTTCTCCCCAGTGGCACCGGAAGTTAACTTAAACTATGGTGCATCGAAAATTTTATTTTTTTGCCCGATGTTCGAATTGCTTGCTTTTGGGTAGAAACTCTAATTTTAATTGGAAAAAAAAATAGCTGTTTTTAATTGTATACAGTGTTTTAGTTATTTTTGTATTTTACAATTTTTAATGAAGATGTTTTGAGTTTTTACGCATTTTTGCCTTTCCTCGGAGAAAGAGCTGAATTGGTTGAATGAAAAATATATCTCTGATGAAATTCGATGAAGTAAGTTTAAATAAAGTGCAGCGAAAAATGTGTGCAAGTTACTAGGCCGTTCTTCGTTTTTAAAATGTTATCCATTTTTAATTTACCTCAACTGAAGAAGAAGCAGTGTTCGTGAATGAATTTTGTGTACTGAGCAAAAATGCCAAATTGACTCCTAAGCGAAATTATTTATAGGGTAAACTATTTGGAGATGCGAGGTAATAATCTTCAAGGTAAAAAAAAATTCTTGCTTATAATTGATTTTGGGGCTCCAGGATTCATTTTCTTTTCGTTTTGTTCTTCATATACTTCTGGGCTCCAGCCTAAAGAACTAATTTCCACCAGAAGGTGCAACAGACAGTTAAGTTTGGGTGAAAACACAGTGGCTATTTGAAATAATATGATAGAATTTTGTTTCCAGTTTTTGATTAAACTCTCGAATATTAAAATTGGTAGACCTGAAAAATTCATTGAGATTGATTGAAAGTCTATTCGTCACGAGAAAGGACAATGTAATTAAAGGTTTTTCGAAATAATGTGCTGTGCAAAGATAGAAATGTTACTTTGTGCAAATACTGCGCAGATGATCCAAATCTCTAATGGAGATGATAAAAGAATATGTATGTGTGAAGAAAGTATAACGTATTCGAATTGCTGGCGTACTTAGCGGGGTATATAAAAAAATTGAATTTCAACATTTTGCAGTGAATCCTTAATTCAGCTTTGTAGATCCAACACCTGGCACAAATATACGGAAAATCCAACGATCCTGGGGGATTGCCAAATATTTAAGATAATTTATTACCATTGGATTCATGTCTAGGTGAAATTATGCAGCGGCAATATGTGGGGCGAGAGAAAATATTTGATACTGTTGTAGTAGCATTTGCTGAATTACGGAATATGCAAAGATATATAAATGTATTCCCTCTACACATCAAGTTTGTAATGTATTTCTCCCTACTTCTTAGCATACCTTCGTGGTGTAATAATCAGCATGCTCGGCGCTTATTCGAGAGATTTGTAGTTCAAGTCCCGGCGAGGGGATTGCTCATTTTTTATCTCTCCTGCTTCAAGATAACCTAATGTATCTAAAAGTTTTTAATTTTTTTAAGTTTGCCATAGTGCTTTATAAATTTAACCAAACTTATTTTAAATATCACAATTGGTGGAGATTTTAATAAAAAAATGATTACTTTAGCTTCTTAATTGGTGCGTCTACAATTAATACCATCTCAAGTAAATCTAAAATATAATGATATAACTGATAAGACTAGCAAAGGATGATACTTCCATGCCTCAGGTTTATGCTTGAACCTTGACTTACCTTGAACTTTGTGTCTTTCGTTCGTATTGCGCGTAAGCTAATAGACCCAGGGCTACGAAATTTGGTATGTAGGTGCACCTAAATAACAGCCAGTGCACCTCGAAGCGATTTTTTTCAAAATTCGAATCAGGTTTTTTTTTATTTTATCTTTTCGATTTTATCGCATCATTTTAAATAATTTCATTCTTTTAGAAATGTGGTTTTGACAACAGGTTTTCATTAAATTGTATACTGGACTGCTGAAAATCAGCACTGTTGCGACTTAGAAAAATGAGAGAGATAATTCTGTGCAGTTTTTAAATTCAATGTTTCTCTTGGATACTGGACGTTTGTTGAGAGAAGGCAACGGGAAGTTGGTTAATTTATTTACTAGGATAATTAATATTTGTATTAAGGAATATTGCTTATTTCATTGTAATTTTGTTATATGTAATATATTTTTTTTGAAATTTGTGGGGTTTTTTTAGTCTAAGGGGGCTTTGTCCCTGAATGACTATTGTTTCCCTTTTGCGATTTTGCGTTGGTTCATTATAAATGTCCGTTTCACTTTTTAAACTCTTGCCACCAAATGTTATACTCCTGCATTATATTTTAAGAAATTAAATAATGAAAAATCTGCGTGAATGTATGTATATTTCTCGCATTGTGATAATACAACGGTACATAGAGCCATCGAATTTCGAGTGATGTAATCCTCCTACGAATATGGGCATGTGGAAGACCAAATTTGAAAGTTGGAATTTGTTTTATTGTCGATTTCATATTTTGTAAATCTTTAAAGAGTTTTTGATTAACGAATTCAAGGATTTCAAAGAGAGCAATGGCAACGTTGTTCATTTTTATCTCCAGCGCGTGTGACTGCGTATCTGAAATTCTAAGATACGCTCAATTTGAAACTATTTTGCGATATTGCTCTTGAACTGAATTTTATGATTTAAATTCGAAGAACGTGATATTTAATAAATAAAAGTAACTCACAAAATATTAAAAAAAACGCCCTTTTGGACGTAATTTAAAATCTAAAACCTTGTAGGGTTTATATTTATTTTAACTAGCATTTATTTTAAGTTTAAACTATCTTTCCTGTCAAGCCTTACTTTTCCCTGGAACTGCCAATGCCAGAATATGTAAATTTTAGTAGAACGCGCAAGGATTCAAATTATCAGCGGAAGTATTCTGATTTAAATAGAAGGAAACGAGTTCGGTGTGATATTCTTACTTCACGAGCACGGAGGTAGTTAGCGAGAAATTGAAGAACCCCGCGTTTCGGCCTATGTGCTTGGCGGGAAGTAGTGTTAATCGTTCAAGTGAGCTTCAAGTCTGCTGAATTAGCAGCGGTGTTGTAAAAACGCGGTGAGTTAGTTATTATTTTAGAGAGCCTCGTAGTTAGAGTCTTGTCTTTAGTTTCTTTTCAGGTTATTATTTTTATTTGACCGCCGAGTTGGCGCCGTCTGTAAGCGTCAAGAGCACGCAATTGTAATTTATTACGTCGAATAAAAAGGGACTTAAACCCTTTACAAGACTCTGTGTTTTATCCTGTTTTCACAGTCACCCCTTCGTTGCGTGCAAGTTGGAGGCGCGCAACGTTACAACCTTTCAGATTTTTTTAAAACTGTCTTTATTGAGCATTTCTGGTGGAATTATTTTATCTGTAACGATGTTGAAAATTATAATTTTTTACTGTATATTACCGTTACCTCAAGGTCATCCGCAATACCTAGGGCGTATTCTTAAACAACTATAAAGCGAAATATTGCATGGTCAGCAATTCCCAACATAATCTTGAGCTGGCCTTTGTATGCACAGCAGTTGGCCATCTCTGAATTAAAGTACTCAGTCACTAAATTTGTGAAAAAGACTGATATTTTTTTCATTACGTTTGTTTATGTTTTTCTTGAAAGATATTCCACATTCTTGAAATCCTTCAAAAAATCCCTACCCCTCAGCGATGAAGAACAGAAAATCCCTCTTTAGCAAAAGACTTCATAACAGACGAGCAGTTCGTCTTCTTTTAACCCAGGTGAGAGGTGGCCGAAAGCAGTTGTTCTTGGATAAAGTTCAAAACGCATGGCTTCGAAAAGGTAGATACTAATCCTTATAACTTAAGAGTTCTCTTTGTACAGTAGAATATTCCGTTTAAGATGAACGTATTAAAAACAGAAATTTAGCTCTATATATCCTTTGTTCCCTTGCGACTTTTCAGCTCTTTAATGGAACACCTTAAGCATTATATGAATGTTTTTTTCTTTCCTTCTATTCACTTTAAACATTATGAAAGAAAATCCATTGATTTATCTCAGTTTTATTTACAGATTTAAAATGATTTTTGGAATCCCACGTGAGTTTAATAGACGGCAGTGTTTTAATACAGCTTGCTTAAATGCATATAACTTATGATTGTTGATGATTTAAGATCAAATAAAAAGGAATATGTTAATAATAAAGGACACTTATACAAACTGGAGTCAGTTGCTAAATATTGGTTTAAAAGGGGGCTCATACACCTTAAACCCTTATGATCATCGAATATTAGACTGTTGCAAGAACTGGGCTATTTTATTTTAAAAGCAATTACTTCCAACGTTTTACAGCTGACTAAATAATATAGCTGCTTCGGAAAGTAGTAGCCAGAAAGTTTGCGTTGCCACAAATATTTTTGTAATTTAATCCGCTTTGTGACAAATGTTTTTGTCATGTTTCGACCTTGCGCGCATAATATTTTAAAAATGGTTAAAGGTACATACTTGAAATTTGAGGAATTCTTTATATAGGCACTATTTTCTAATTGAACCACAAATTTTGATATTAAAAAATTTTATGAAAGAAAAAATTACAGATTTTTTTAATAAAATACATTTTGTAAACTCAACTCCAAATAAAACAAAAATTTAACATGAAATTTTTAGACTATTTGGTTCACAGCAGTTTCCAAAAATTATAAAAGCTATATATTAAGTATGGAATTAAATTATGCAACAGAATGTTTTAAACTGTGCGCGTAAGGTGGAAACATGACGAAACATTGTGCCACAAGGCGGATTAAATTATAAAAATACTTGTGGCAACACAAACTTTCTGATTACTATTTCAGAAAGCAGCTATATTATGTAGTCAGCTGTAAAAAGTTGGAGGTAATTGCTTTTAAAATAAATAAGTAATCTCAATTCTTGCAACAGTCACATATTTGAAGATGTTGTGGGTTTTAAGGCGTATGAGTCGCTTTAATTGTATATCGCGATTAATAGCTTTTTGGAAATCACAAATCATTTTCCTATTTTTAAAAGCGTATATGTAATCTTTATTATATTTGATAAGGTGTAAGTACTGTCTAACTTCAATACTGATTCCTTTGACATCATTTAATACGTATATTAACAGCATAGCTATAATTTGAAAACATATAAATTTATCCATAGGTAACACTATGATTTTTTTCAAATATCCCGATATTTGTTCTTCAAGTATTGGTCGAGCGTGGTCGATCTCATCGGTTATTTAGCCAATATATCATCGAGAATGTTGCCCAGGGTGGTGTGCAGGAGACAGATCGACCCTACACTCGAAAGAAGGGAGGAAGAACATTACAAACAGCCATGCCTTCTAAGGGATTTGAACCTGAGTCCAAGGTTATCCTATCAAAATGGCAATAGAATGGAATTTTAAATACATGATGCTGTGATTTTATTTTTTCATATATTGATATAGAAACGCAATATAATATATCAAGTTATCCTTATCGTAGAGATCATTACTGAAAGTAAATGATATATCTGAGAACATAATTGGAAATAGTAAAGGAGCATCATCAATAGTCGTATTTTTTAATGATATTACCTCCAAGACCAAAATTACTTGGAAACATCACTAGCCTGCTTAAGGAAGCTTCATTATACGTAGCATTGTATTAAGAGTAACATTATACATAACAAATTTAAAATACTTGGGGAATATTACTAGCATCATAACAGAATTATTTCTGAAAATGATTATGGCGAAGTATAGTATATAGCTAAAATTATAAGTTTTCTTCCTGATGTAACTAGTAGCACATCCGGCTAGCAAATAGATGATCCGAAGTTCAAATCTTGCAAAAGGCACAGATGATTTTCTAACTTTTCTCGCTCCAAAAATTCTAAAAGCCCTACAGTGACGTCTGAACTAAAACGATGTCTACGATAATTTATCGTGACATAGATGTGGTTAATTGACATGATAATGACATTGATGTTCGACTTGCTCTTCTCAGTCGCTTAAGTAGGAGAGAATATAAAGTATTACCCTTCGAAAAATCCCTACCCCTAAAAATCCCTATTCTTCCCTAAACTCCTCAGTGCATGCACTCGCGATATTACGTTGCTCTACATCATTATAAAGTGAAAGTTTACTGAAACCGTAAAGACAGTCAGAAGACGTATTCTCCCGTCTATTTTGTAACTGTTACTAAAATCACAATTGAAAGCAAAGTTTGAAATAAACCTCTTCATTAACGCCTCAATTTGATAGTTACACAACTTAGGAATGTAATGGAAACACAACCTTCGCAGCTTGCAGTGCAGAACAATGGTTCATGTCAATTTTAAATGTGAAATACACTTTAATATGCGCCAAAATAAGCCTTGTCTTAACTAAGAAATTGCAAAACAAGCACAACTTGCTGAAGCTGAATCCTTGTTGTAGATCATGGATTTTGAAATGGATGATCATGGATCATGTTGTGGATTTTGAAACCAAAATTAGTTTAAACAGCAGTGATACCGGTTACAGCCGAAAACGTCGCGGACGAAAACGTCGCAGAGAAAACAACGCAAGGCGAAAACGTCGTGCTACAAAAGGTCGTGGGAGAAAACATCGCAAAGAGAAAACATCGCAGTTCTAAAACATCGTGGCACAAAACATCGTCGTCGAAAATAAAGCGGTTCAAAAACTTCGCAGTTTGAAAACATCATCGTCGAAAATATCGTGGTAAAAAATAAAGTACCTACAAATCATCGCATGATGATAACATCGCAGATATGCGTTTTTCAGGCTTTAATAACTGTAAATAGATATACCCATAATGATTTGTGAGCGCAAGATGTAAAGAAGGATAATTTTTACTTTCACATTTTTTTTATTCACTAATAAATTTTTGCTGAAAACGTAAGAAGGAAACTTAAGCATAGAAAATTAAATGCAACTTATGGATTATACTTTATATGAACAATTACCAGTAAAAACTTTATAAAAAATGATTTATTAATGGTCTTTGTTGGTTAACTATGCCGGTTTAAAATTCTATTAAGTGCTATAAGTTGCATTAATTTTCTATGCTTAAGTTTCCTTCTTATTTTGTCAGCAAAAATTTATTAGTTAATATAAAATATGAACACAATACTTGCGCTCACAAATTATTATGGGAATATCCATTTACAGTTATTAAAGTCTGAAAAAAGAATGTCTGCGATGCTATCGTCACGCGATGATTTGTAGATACTTTATTTTTTACCACGGTATTTTCGACGACGATGTTTTTAAACTGCGAAGTTTTTGAACCGCTTTATTTTCGACGACGATGTTTTGTACCACGATGTTTTAGAACTGCGATGTTTTCTCTTTGCGATGTTTTCTTCCACGATGTTTTGTAACACGACGTTTTCGCCTTGCGTTGTTTTCTCTGCGACGTTTTCGTCCGCGATGTTTTTGCCGCGATGTTATCGGCGGACACCGTGATACCAGATCTAACTCCACGGCTGTCTAACGCTGTAAACTCTGCTCTTTATTGCACTTTAAATCTGTTTCTCAACCTTTCAGTTTTGCGATCGAATGTTCAGCCATTATTTTCACCCCCCTAACACAATAACAGAGTATACAATAATAATGTATTTAGAGTATCTTGACGATAAACCAGCACTACTACCTTAACTACAACCTTACAAATAAACAAGAATCAATAAATTTATTAATGTTTGACAATACCCACTGCATTGGTAGAACCAGAACCTATGCCTCTGTATTTCTCTTTGTCTTACGTCCACCTGATCGAGTATTCTCACAGCTTCGCGAAAAATTCCGCTTTGTCTCGAACATTTTGGAACGCCTGCGGGACCGTGACGGAAACCTATGTAGTAGATACTGCACCTTATTCATTTCTAGCCAGTGTCAATTGAGTCAATTCTTTTGTCGAATTATCGTGAATGTATACATTGTAATTTGTTGTATTAATTAGAACTGATAGTATTAAATATTCATGGCAATAGATTTATACAATATCATGAACAAAGTTTTAAGTGGGATAAGCGAGTGATACTGAAGCCTCAACAATGCACAAACGAGCTTAGCTCTGTAAATGAAATCAAGAAAATATTCTCAAGAATACTTAAATTTTGGGTTTACCGGTGCTGAAGTTAATGAAGAATAAATACCCTTATCATTTGCTCAAACATTTCGCCAGGAAACAGCATGAAATCCACTAAACTACGTTCGGAAATGTTTCATAATGGGTGAGTTAACAAACCCCGAGAATTCTTCGAATTAAAATTTAAATCATATTTTTATGGATTTGGTATTTAAATATTTAATGTTAGTAGAATTATAAATAAAATTGTTTTATTCCCCTTGCAGTGTAGCGCGTGACGAATATTATGCGAAAACTAAGGCGGAAAAATTAAAAATACAAGAGCAAGTGCATTTACCATTTAATAAATGAATATATCTTTTTGATTTCGAGAAATTTCTAGAACAATCTCGCGCGTGATTTAAAAAGCTTATAAAAAGGAGGAAAACATCTCAGTTCACTTAGTTGCTGTTTTAAGAGTTTGTTGAGAAAACTGCTCTTGTTGACTGTATCGAATTCGCAGATTAGCTTTCTCTAGCGGTTTTAATTAAGTTCTATTAAACGTTTGAGTGGTTAAGAGATAACTACCGTGAGATATTGTAATACTGTAAGAATATCTGAGGAAATTTAAGCATTTAGTTTAATTTGTTGTAATAATAATAAATTTTTTCATTTTTCATCGGACTTGTGCATTCGATTCCTAACGAACTCGTACGCACGCAACAATATGAAAAGTAAAAAATCATTTAAAAAAAAAAAAATTGGTAA